TCCTCACCTGTGTGCCCATTTCTCCTGCTCTTCTCCTCCTCACCTGTGTGCCCATCTCTCCTGCTCTTCTCTTCCTCACCTGTGTGCCAATCTCTTCTGCTCTTCTCTTCCTCACCTGTATGTCTATTCTCGCTGCTCTGTCCTCCTGGGCCTTATACTCTCACCATCCTCTTCCTCACCTGTGTGTCCATTCCTGCCTGTCCTTTGTCTTCCTGAGGCAAGGTGCAAATGTTTAATAGTTCTCTTTTAACCTCTCTTGACAGCTTAGCTCCTCATAATACTTGTTCCACACAAGTATTCGTATACTGGCTGCGCTGTGTACTGACCAGCTGTGCATAATGAAGACAGTCCCTTGCAAACTAGACTGTAGGTGGTGTCTTTCTGGCTTGAACGTACATCTCCAGCCTTGGAAGGAGCTCTTGATTGAACACAAGGATGCAATAGGGTCTGTTAGACCCAGCTACAGTACTTCTCCCATATCACTGAGAACAACCAAAACAATCCTGGATATCTGTCCTCCACCACCAATCCATTGCTAAAACCTAACTGTCCCACTACATGAATTGACAAATCCCAACTTCGCAACACTGTTTTAGAGTTTTTTACTAATAAGGTTGCTGACATTACCTGCTCGATGCACATGACTACTGCACCTCCTCCCAGCATGCCTGTTCCTACAGGTTCCTCTCTTTCTTCCTTTCCGCATGCCTCAGTGAACTGCCTTTGCGTATGAAACCCACCACCTCATAGATCCCATTCTCATCGTTTTTATTTCATTCCTGATATCCAGCCCTCTGCCTCTGGACAACACAAACAATATTTGTCTATATGTAACATTCCGTTTTTGCAAAAATGTAGAATGTGCTGTTGCAATGCAGTTAAAGGCCCATCTCACCGCAAATAAGCTCAACATTCCCCTGCAATCTGGTTACAAACAATCACATGGAACTGAAACTGCTCTTGTTTCTAATGTTCCTCTTATACAGTAGCAACCGATTCCAGTTCTTTATCTGTCCTTATTCGTCTTGACCTCAGAGCTGCTTTTGACACTGTTAATCGTGACATTTTACTCTTCTTACTTGCGACTGTGTTTGGAGT